GGATGTGTCAGTTATTATTATAGATAAATGGATGTGTCAGTTATTATTATAGATAAATGGATGTGTCAGTTATTATTATAGATCCATGGATGTGTCAGTTATTATTATAGATAAATGGATGTGTCAGTTATTATTATAGATAAATTGATGTTTCTCTCTCATCAGCAAACACACGTTAATACATTTAGTTCTGATAAAATTACTTTTAAGTGATGCACAAACGAGGGCCATAGCAAATATATAATCCATATCTAATAATCATTTATTGCATATATGTGCATTGTTTACATAAAATATAACTTTGTAAAAACTAATGATTACTGCCAATACAATTGTTATAACAGAGAAAGTGTAACAACAAAAGCATCCTCTGTTTTTTCATAATACGATTGTAAACATCCAGGGGGCTCTCATTACCTGAACCCGTGTTTAGACAGCCTGTTCTGGGCTTCAGCACTGCAGCTAACTGGGCTGTTAGCTTATAGCACCGGAGCTTCAGGCTGGAGGTAAAGTCCGAAAATTTTCGAATTTATCTCCAAACAGACTTCTGATATGACAATAGAGGGGGATATTTCTCGCCTCAAATGATATTAGAATTAACTTTTATGTCCTAATTAAAGCGTATTTAGAACTTTTTACCGTCCATCATGGCCGCCGTGTCCTTCCGCTCCGCTCGGAGTTGTGTAGTCACGTGACGAAGGCAGAAGGCAGCTGCTGTCCAAATCCACATCACGTCTCGCCTCCTACCTCGCCTGTGGCTACGCTGCCTTCCCTCGATGCCTACGTATCCACCCTACGCGGCCCGATGCCTACCGTTTTGGACACAGCATATGTGGAGCGGGACAACAGAGCGCTTTGTGACTCTGACCTGTGTCTGTATCGCTTTACAAATAAAGATTATAAAAGATTAAACTCCTGTCAAGTAGAATTAATTCGTCAAAAGTTACGGTATACTTCTGGCCCTCATTGGCTCCTATGTGTTTAAATATAGCCTCTGAACAAAATGTCAGCTCTGTCCTACGAGCCCATCTCTCAGTCCAGCATTGTTTGTGTAATTACTGCCCACGGACCAACACTTGTGGCGACAATTACACAACAAAGTAAAGGAGGTGTAATGATTATGGCCTTCCCCCGGTGACAGGTGAGATGCAGACGTAGGCGCAGTTTGGACTTTGATATTTCACTGAGAAAAGATTCTTTCCACTTGAACTTCCAGGCCACAGCGTCGCACAGAGTCCAGACCCGGGTTTCTCTCCAAAGAGTCCAAAAAGTACGCTTGTAAAAAATAACTGACATTTAGCAAAAAACTGTTTGGTGAAAAGTGACTGGATGCTAACTGCTAGCAAGCAAACGGTGCGTTGCTATGGTAACCGGCTGCTCTGTTCTGGTGGAAAACCGACATGACGTTTCACCTCGGAGAAACTGCTCACATTTTGAAAGTATTGTGGGTCTCTCTCTCTCTCTGGTGTCTAACTCTCACTGGTCTCTCCATCTCTTTCTTTCTGGTTTCTTTCTCTCTCTCTGATGTCTATCTCACTGGTCTCTCTCTCTCTCTGGTGTCTATCTCACTGGTCTCTCCATCTCTCTCTGGTCTCGTTCTCTCACTTTCTCTATCTGATGTCTCTCTCTCTCCTTCTCTCTGGTCTCTCTCTATCTCTGGTCTTTCTCTCTCTCTCTCCTGTATCTCTCTCTCTCAATCATTGATGTCTCCATCTTTCTCTGGTCGCTCTCTCTCCTTCTCTCTGGTCTCTCTCTATCTCCAGTCTCTTTCCCTCTGGCCTCTCTCTCCGGTCTCTCTCTATCTCTGATCTATTTCTCTCTCTCTCTCTCCTATCTCCGGTATCTCTCTATCTCTAGTCTCGCTCTTTCACTTTCTCTCTCTGATGTCTCTCTTTCTGGTCTCTCTCTCTCTCTATCTCTACTTACAAGTAAAAGATCCTTTCACCAAATAAGCTACACATAGAAACATGAACAAACCACAAATGTACATTCTCCCAGTAATTATAAAACTAAAACCCGTCAAATTGACTGCTCTGGGGGTTCTAGTGTTTAGACTGTGCGTGCAACTGTCATAGTCCTGCCCACAACAGCTTCATTGGTGTGTTTTGTCGGTAAAAAGACGTCTGTTTAGAATAGAATAACCCTGTCTGCTCGGCGGCTGCTTATGCCAAGTGTTTCCCATCGTTACACTTCCGCCGTATTGTGGCATTTTCACAGAATATTTGCTTCAGCTGCAAACACGATGGCCCCCGATTGAAATCATGGTTAAAAGGTCATACATCGGAATAAATGCCAACAATGCCAAAGTCTTTCCCGTAATAAACAGTGAAGACCCGCACACACACTCCGGACGTAGTGTTGTGTAAGCGTGGCCTTTAATTAAACAGCAGCAGATTGATTTTTGGCCGCGGGTGAACGGACCCGTGGCTTCATAATGACGAGGATTAGCCTGCAACGCGATCGGACGCTTCTCGGGATGTAATTAAAAGAAACACATCTGCCGGGATTTAGTAAATAATTATTGTCTTTATGTTTTGTTTTTCTTATACGTCATTGTCAAAGTTTGGCTTTTTTACTGACGACAGAGCGCTCAGGTCTCAGCCCTCGCACTGCTGCGCCGCATCAGCAATCAACTCCATCCATCCATCCATTTTCTTCCCCTTAATCCATTTCTGGGTCGGGGGGGTGGCAGTCAGAGCTGCACCCAGTACACTCAGCACCAGCCCCTCACTGATCCTCCTGCAGGTGGTGAGTCCACAGGAGCTGAGATCTTTCAGTGGGAGCTTCAGGCAAAGTGGGGTTAAGTGTCTTGCCCAAGGACACAACGACAGCAGTCATCAGTGGGAGTCGTGAAGTAGGTCTTATGGTGGGCTTGAACCCACAACCTTCAGGCCCAAAGGGCAATGCTCTACCAACTGAGCTACTGTCGCCCCCTCTTGAGCAATCAACTCAATTCTGTTTATTCGTGAGTAGCACTAAATCACAGCAGCAGTTATCTCGGAGGACTCTACAAAGTTGTCAATTCGCTCACACAGATCGGAGAATCAACAGTTCAGTGTCCATAAACGTCCAGTCAATCACACCCAACGTTCAATCATTTCAACATGACAGCACTTAAGCACTGCTCTGCACCGAGGTTCCATATCATGCAGCACCTTTTCATTAGTGCAGCAACCCTCCTCCTCCCCATCAGACAAACCAGCTCTTCAACCCTCAGCTCCCAACACCAGGGTCTAAGCCACTTACATTCTATCTCTTAATTTGTTTTTATTTCCTCTCCTGCACTCGTCCTGCAGAAGGGGAAGTAGTCCTATCATACAATAAATAATATACAATAGATGTCTAATATTCTAACTATGAAACACAACAGGACGGATCATCTTGTCTTCTTAGTGAAAATAAAAGTAATTGGTTCTTCTTTACCAGAGAACAGGAAGTTAACAGGGAACACTAGGTTCAGGTTGAGTAGAAAGCACTCTTGCGTCTCAACAAGAAGAACCCGGGTTTGAATCCATTCAGAACAGGGTCCCCAGTCTCCCCTACCACTAAAACATGCACAACAGGTAAATCCTCCAGCTCCAGTCCTGACCAAGCCGAGGACAAACATCTGGAGATGGTCCCCGGGCGCTGTACCCACTGCTGCTGATGGATGCAGAGTGAATTGCACTTTTACCTTCACCGTCGTGAGGTACCATGGGACCCACCGCTCCAGCGACCAGTGACCAGCAGAGGGCGCAGTCATAACAGTAAACTGTGTGTTTGACTGTGTCTGGTAACAGCAGCTGATAAAGGCACGTCATGAGTGAGGAAGACAGAAGTGTACCGTCCACACATGTCAAGGTAATAACAAACTACTATCACTCTCTGGTCTCTCTCTCTGTTCTCTCTCTGGTCTCTCTCTGGTCTCACTCTCTGGTCTCGCTCTCTGGTCTCTCTCTAGTCTCTCTCTGGTCTCTCTCTCTGTTCTCTCTCTGGTCTCGCTCTCTGGTCTCTCTCTAGTCTCTCTCTTGTCTCTCTCTTTGGTCTGTCTCAAGTCTCTCTCTGGTCTTTCTCTAGTCTCTCTTGGGTGTCTCTCTGGTCTCTCTCTTTGGTCTGTCTCTGGTCTCTCTCTGGTCTTGCTCTGGTTTTTCTCTGGTCTCTCTCAGGTCACTCTCTTTGTTCTGTCTCCAGTCTCTCTCTGGTCTCTCTCTGGTCTCTCTCTAGTCTCTCTCTTTGGTCTGTCTCCAGTCTCTCTCTGGTCTTTCTCTAGTCTCTCTTGGGTGTCTCTCTGGTCTCTCTCTGGTCTTGCTCTGGTTTTTCTCTGGTCTCTCTCAGGTCTCTCTCTGGTCTCTCTCAGGTCTCTCTCTGGTCTCTGTCGGGTCTCTCTCTGGTTTCTCTTTGGTCTCTCTCTCTGCTCTCCCGCTCTAGTCTCTCCCTGCTCTCTCCCTTGTCTCTCTCTGGCCTCTCATAAGGTAACAACATCGCTGACATCCAACCATCTGATGTAGAAGAACCGAATACTTTCATTCAATCCAATCCAAACCGCCTCCTTTAGTCGTGGGAGTCGCTCCAGATGAAACGTGACTGCTTTTCGAGGAGAATGTGTTCGACTGTTTACAAAGACCACAGCTTTGTCCTGATCTGTTGATTGGATCCTCGAGGTAAAGCTCAGCCCAGGACTTTCTGAGCACGTCTCTCCAGGACACTGTAGTTAAGGTGGAATTGAGTAAACCATATGCAAGAGAATCAATGGGAGCTAACTGTATGTCTCTCTTTTGTGTTGCATTTTCAGGCCAATTGTTGCGGCTTATTGAGCAGCGACATCAAACACTATTATTAACAAGACACTTTGGTCCAGCCCCGAGGCACATATATATACGTCCGTGTACATATCATACCACAGTGTTCCACTAAATAACAGCAGGATTGGGAGAAATGTTTTTTAAATGCTAGCATCCTTAATGGAAACGTTTTGTCAACATAATGAAGAAGTAAATGGTGTGGGATGAGAAATGAATTTGTTAAATGACATGGAAAATGAAACGCTGATGCACTATGTGACTTCGTACATTTACACTACGCTCCGTGGTCTTCGCAGTAATGTCACTCAGCGAGAACAGCACGAGGTGGAGATAGAGAAACGACCAGGACGAGGGGGAGAGGCCAAGAGAGGTCCACAGCGAGAACAGCACGAGGCGGAGATAGAGAACGACCAGGACGAGGGGGAGAGGCCAAGAGAGAGGTCCACAGCGAGAACAGCACGAGGCGGAGATAGAGAACGACCAGGACGAGGATGAGAGACCAAGAGAGGTCCACAGCGAGAACAGCACGAGGCGGATATAGAGAACGACCAGGACAAGGGGGAGAGGCCAAGAGAGGTCCACAGCGAGAACAGCACAAGGTGGAGATAGAGAACGACCAGGACGAGGGGGAGAGGCCAAGAGAGAGGTCCACAGCGAGAACAGCACGAGGCGGAGATAGAGAACGACCAGGACGAGAGGGAGAGGCCAAGAGAGGTCCACAGCGAGAACAGCACAAGGTGGAGATAGAGAACGACCAGGACGAGGATGAGAGACCAAGAGAGGTCCACAGCGAGAACAGCACGAGGCGGAGATAGAGAACGACCAGGACGAGGAGGAGAGGCCAAGAGAGGTCCACAGCGAGAACAGCACGAGGTGGAGATAGAGAACGACCAGGACGAGGGGGAGAGGCCAAGAGAGAGGTCCACAGCGAGAACAGCACGAGGTGGAGATAGAGAACGACCAGGACGAGGGGGAGAGGCCAAGAGAGGTCCACAGCGAGAACAGCACGAGACGGAGATAGAGAAACGACCAGGACGAGGGGGAGAGGCCAAGAGAGAGGTCCACAGCGAGAACAGCACGAGACGGAGATAGAGAACGACCAGGACGAGGGGGAGAGACCAAGAGAGGTCCACAGCGAGAACAGCACGAGACGGAGATAGAGAACGACCAGGACGAGGGGGAGAGGCCAAAGAGAGGTCCACAGCAAGAACAGCACGAGACAGAGATAGAGAACGACCAGGACGAGGGGGAGAGGCCAAAAGAGAGGTCCACAGCGAGAACAGCACGAGACGGAGATAGAGAAACGACCAGGACGAGGGGGAGAGGCCAAGAGAGAGGTCCACAGCGAGAACAGCACGAGACGGAGATAGAGAACGACCAGGACGAGGGGGAGAGACCAAGAGAGGTCCACAGCGAGAACAGCACGAGACGGAGATAGAGAACGACCAGGACGAGGGGGAGAGGCCAAGAGAGGTCCACAGCAAGAACAGCACGAGACAGAGATAGAGAACGACCAGGACAAGGGGGAGAGGCCAAAAGAGAGGTCCACAGCGAGAACAGCACGAGGCGGAGATAGAGAACGACCAGGACGAGGGGGAGAGGCCAAAAGAGAGGTCCACAGCGAGAACAGGACGAGGTGGAGATAGAGAACGACCAGGACGAGGGGGAGAGGCCAAGAGAGGTCCACAGCGAGAACAGGACGAGGCGGAGATAGAGAAACGACCAGGACGAGGGGGAGAGACCAAGAGAGGTCCACAGCGAGAACAGCACGAGACGGAGATAGAGAACGACCAGGACGAGGGGGGGAGGCCAAGAGAGGTCCACAGCGAGAACAGCACGAGGTGGAGATAGAGAACGACCAGGACGAGGGGGGGAGGCCAAGAGAGAGGTCCACAGCGAGAACAGCACGAGGCAGAGATAGAGAAACGACCAGGACGAGGGGGAGAGGCCAAGAGAGAGGTCCACAGCGAGAACAGCACGAGACAGAGATAGAGAACGACCAGGACGAGGGGGAGAGGCCAAGAGAGGTCCACAGCGAGAACAGCACGAGGCAGAGATAGAGAAACGACCAGGACGAGGGGGAGAGGCCAAGAGAGAGGTCCACAGCGAGAACAGCACGAGACGGAGATAGAGACCAACGGGGGGGACCAGGACGACGAGGGGGAGGACCCAAGAGAGAGGTCCACAGCGAGAACAGCACGAGACGGAGATAGAGAACGACCAGGACGAGGGGGGGAGGCCAAGAGAGAGGTCCACAGCGAGAACAGCACGAGACGGAGATAGAGAACGACCAGGACGAGGGGGGGAGGCCAAGAGAGAGTCCACAGCAGAACAGCACGAGACGAGGGAGATAGAGAACGACCAGGACGAGGGGGGGAGGCCAAGAGAGGTCCACAGCGAGAACAGCACGAGGTGGAGATAGAGAACGACCAGACGAGCCAGGTCACCGACGACGAGGGGGGAGAGGCCAAGAGAGGTCCACAGCGAGAACAGCACGAGACGGAGATAGAGAAACGACCAGGACGAGGGGGGGAGGCCAAGAGAGAGGTCCACAGCGAGAACAGCACGAGACGGAGATAGAGAAACGACCAGGACGAGGGGGGGAGGCCAAGAGAGGTCCACAGCGAGAACAGCACGAGGTGGAGATAGAGAACGACCAGGACGAGGGGGAGAGGCCAAGAGAGGTCCACAGCGAGAACAGCACGAGACGGAGATAGAGAAACGACCAGGACGAGGGGGGGAGGCCAAGAGAGAGGTCCACAGCGAGAACAGCACGAGGCAGAGATAGAGAAACGACCAGGACGAGGGGGAGAGGCCAAGAGAGAGGTCCACAGCGAGAACAGCACGAGACGGAGATAGAGAACGACCAGGACGAGGGGGAGAGGCCAAGAGAGGTCCACAGCGAGAACAGCACGAGACGGAGATAGAGAACGACCAGGACGAGGGGGAGAGGCCAAGAGAGAGGTCCACAGCGAGAACAGCACGAGACGGAGATAGAGAACGACCAGGACGAGGGGGAGAGGCCAAGAGAGGTCCACAGCGAGAACAGCACGAGACGGAGATAGAGAACGACCAGGACGAGGGGGGGAGGCCAAGAGAGAGGTCCACAGCGAGAACAGCACGAGGTGGAGATAGAGGACGACCAGGACGAGGGGGAGAGGCCAAAAGAGAGGTCCACAGCGAGAACAGCACGAGACGGAGATAGAGGACGACCAGGACGAGAGGGAGAGGCCAAGAGAGAGTAACTATAGGTTTACACATTCAATCAGGAAGCTCCAATCTTCTTTCACAGTATCTTTCCGTCTTTACTTTTTGTCTTAGTCTAAGAGAAGATAAGGGATCCTTTATTCGTCCCACAGTGGGGAAATGTCAGTGTTGCAGCGCACATTCAGGACAGCACACAAAATATACACAATATATAGCTTCTATGTTTCTTAGCTATAGCTGTAATACAAACATTCAAGAGTGTGAAATCAATGTGTTCAATGTATAAATTCTGGACTATAAGCCGCTGCCTTTCCTGCATTTTGAAGGTTGCGGCTTATAGTCAGGTGAGTCTTATTTTTGTTTTTATTTTTTTTCTCTGGTGTGAAAAACACTGTGAAAAACACTGATCTCAATCTAAGGCCTTCGACACTGTTGACCATGAGATCCTCCTGGAGAGACTGGGAAAGTGGTTTAGCTGGTACGGGCCTACATTGGTGAAGGTCCTTTTTTGGAAGACAGAATGTATTTTGTGGATGCAGGGTTTTAGATCATATGACATTGACAATCGGAGTGCCTCAAGGGAGTGGCTCAAGGGAGTGCCTCAAGGGTCAATCCTTGGGCCTATTTTTTATTTCAGGAAACACGCTATTTTAATATATATTATTTTTTCTCATGATAGATGTGTTTTTCCTTTCTGACAAGAGGGCTGAAGTTGAAGCAGTTTGTGTGTGTGTCTGTATGTGCATGTGTGTGTGCGTCAGTGTGTGTGTGCACCTGTGTGTGTGTGTCTGTATGTGCATCTGTGTGTGCGTCTGTGTGTGTGCACCTGTGTGTGTGTGTCTGTATGTGCACCTGTGTGTGTGTGTGCACCTGTGTGTCTGTATGTGCATCTGTGTGTGCGTCTGTGTGTGTGTGCACCTGTGTGTGTGCGTTTGTTTGTGCATCTGTGTGTGTTTGTGTGTGTGCACCTGTGTGAGTATCTGTGTGTGCGTGTCTCTGTATACCTCTGTATTGGGCGGCACGGTGGCTGAGTGGATAGCACTCTCGCCTCTCAGCAAGAAGGTCCTGGGTTCGAATCCCGGTCGGACCAGGGCCTTTCTGAGTGGAGTTTGCATGTTCTCCCCGTGTCTGCGTAGGTTTCCTCCGGGTACTCCGGTTTCCCCTACCACTAAAAATATGTCCAATAGTTCTAGCATGCGCCTCCTGTACTGACCCCGCTCCCATCTCTGTGTGGAGTGAGAGACAAATGCCCAAAAATTAACAATTGTAAACCGCTTTGAGACTCAGATCTGCAGTGAAAAGGCGGTATATAAATAAAAACGTACTTACTTACGTCTGTGTGTATGTGTCTGTGCACACCTGTGTGTGTGTATCTGTGTGTGCGTCTGAGTGTGTCTCTGTGTATACTTCTTTGTGTGCGTCTCTGTATACGTCTGTGTATACTTCTGTGTGTGCGTCTGTGTATACATCTGTGTGTGTATCTGTGTGTGCGTCTGTGTGTGTGTGTGTCTGTGTATACGTCTGTGTATACGTCTGTGTGAGTGTATCTGTGTGTGCGTCTGAGTGTGTGTGTGTCTGTGTATACTTCTGTGTGTGCGTGTGTGTATACTTCTGTGTGTGTGTCTGTGTATACATGAAGCTGAATGCGCATGTTCAGACTGAAAGACCGAGTGCCTGCCAGCCTCGAGCCTCAGCCAATCACACAGCTCTGCCAGCCTCGAGCCTCAACCAATCACACAGCTCTGCCAGCCTCGAGCCTCAGCCAATCACACAGCTCTGCCAGCCTCGAGCCTCAGCCAATCACACAGCTCTGCCAGCCTCGAGCCTCAGCCAATCACACAGCCAGGCCAGCCTCCTGCCAACCCTCTCAGAGCAAAGCGGGCAGTTTAAAAGGCAACCACTTCCTGACAAACAACGCTTCCTGAGGCTCTTAAACACCCACCACCTCCCCAGCACCCCCTCTGGCTCTTGGCTCCCGCTCTGGCTCCCGCTCTAGGCTCCCACTCCGGCTCCTGCTCCGCCTACGCCCCATTCACACCATACTCTAGCCAGATTGACCCCGGGGGATCTGAGATCATCTCAGCTGCAATCGATCTCATTGCTGCAAGTGTCACTGCCGGGGTCAACGCGCCAAACAAATAAATAATTTTATTGTATTAAAGGCGCTATACCCGTTGCTGCAATGTTTGAATGTTTAGCACCGCCCCCCAACTCGCTCAATGGCTTCTCATTTCCCCTACGCTCTCATAACACAGAGCCACCTAGTTTTATTTGCGATCTGATACATATGCTAACATTAGCATTAGCGCAACTTCTTGTAAGCTGTGCAACAATCACCGATGAAATGGCACTAAAGCAACGCACTGCTAACACAATATATAAGTAAAAGAATACCGCTAGTTTCGCGTCCGAATGTATTAATTTAAAACCTTAGAATATATTCTAATATTTAATTATAATGTGTTATAGAGCTCCTCAAAGCAGCAGCAGCAATTCTTCCGATAATTTTTTCTTGATAACAGAACTCTCAAACCAATAATGACCGAAGCCCCAATGCAACCTCTGTTTGTAATTCAGGTGTGTAAAATACTGCCATTACTCTGCAAGTACAACAAGCTATCAGTACCTGTCACTACACACTTGTCTGTGTAGAGAAGCCAACGGAGCTAGCCACGCTCAATAAACAAATACATATCTATCAATCAACACCATTAAACGTCAATCGGACAATACAGTACACATATACATCCTTAACACACATGCACGGATGATTTCTGAATTTGCTGTTAACGTTTTCATGACAAAAATACTGTTTCAATGTGACAAAAAGCGATTGCGAAAAACCCGGAAGTTACCATGAAACAACTAGCTAGCTTAGCTGTTACCTGCCTAGCACGTCCCGGTGAAACCTTTGGGAGCTAACTATTTTATTTGCAGTCATTAAATACATTTCGAATTACAAGGGTTGTCTAAGATTTGTTCACATTTTTTATTCAATTATTTTGTTCATTTTTTATTTTAGAATTATATTCGAATTTTGAAGTCGAAGCCCTGGTGTTAAGCAGCGCTGTAGAGGCTAGAGGACGCAGGCTGTAGAGACTAGAGGACGCAGGCTGTAGAGACTAGAGGACACAGGCTGTAGAGGCTAGAGGACGCAGGCTGTAGAGGCTAGAGGACGCAGGCTGTAGAGACTAGAGGACGCAGGCTGTAGAGGCTAGAGGACACAGGCTGTAGAGGCTAGAGGACTCAGGCTGTAGAGGCTAGAGGACACAGGCTGTAGAGACTAGAGGACACAGGCTGTAGAGACTAGAGGACACAGGCTGTAGAGACTAGAGGACACAGGCTGTAGAGGCTAGAGGACTCAGGCTGTAGAGGCTAGAGGACACAGGCTGTAGAGGCTAGAGGACACAGGCTGTAGAGACTAGAGGACACAGGCTGTAGAGACTAGAGGACACAGGCTGTAGAGACTAGAGGACAGGCTGTAGACACGCTGTAGAGACTAGAGGACACAGGCTGTAGAGACTAGAGGACACAGGCTGTAGAGACTAGAGGACACAGGCTGTAGAGACTAGAGGACACAGGCTGTAGAGGCTAGAGGACGCAGGCTGTAGAGGCTAGAGGACACAGGCTGTAGAGGCTAGAGGACACAGGCTGTAGAGACTAGAGGACTCAGGCTGTAGAGACTAGAGGACGCAGGCTGTAGAGGCTAGAGGACGCAGGCTGTAGAGGCTAGAGGACACAGGCTGTAGAGACTAGAGGACACAGGCTGTAGAGACTAGAGGACACAGGCTGTAGAGGCTAGAGGACACAGGCTGTAGAGACTAGAGGACACAGGCTGTAGAGACTAGAGGACTCAGGCTGTAGAGACTAGAGGACTCAGGCTGTAGAGGCTAGAGGACGCAGGCTGTTCGCTGCTCGTTCTGTGAGCGGAGGAGAAAGAGCGGCCCGCTCAGACTCTACTCAGCACTTTTCACTGCTTGTAATTCTTACACAGCTGAATCAATTACCTCAAGTTTTCAATTAAATGATGTATTATGATACAACTTGTATGTAGTAAAAAGCATTTTTATGAACTACTTAGAAAAAAAATCGGGTATAGCTTCTTTAATTGTGTCTTTGGTCTCTTCAGATTGAAGTCTGTGTGTGCTTATTCAATCAATTTCATAATGAATCCATAACTCACTAAAACGTAGGCAGACCTAAAGAAGATACCTGAAAACAACACGACAATCCCGTTATTCCTGGTCCCAAATCTCTGCTGCTCTGAAACAACATCCACTGGAGTTGAACTGATTTTCCTCACATCATTTTCTGTGGCAACACAAACTCAAGACATCCTTTCCCTTCTCAGAAACATGGCGGTTTTTTCCTCTTGCACCGCACGACAGCCGTTGCCTACCTCCAGTGCCTCTTCCAGCATGAGCCCTCTGTCTGTAATAATATCAGAAGGAGTCGTCTCTGGAGCCTTCTCTGCACACTGCCCTCCAGCTCAAAGCTTCACCGCAATACTGAGATCTACACACACACACACACACACACACACACACACACACACACACACACACACACACACACACACACACACACACACACACACACACACACACACACACACACACACACACACACACACACACACACACACACACACACACACACAGCTACAGTTTGGCTTGATTGATTAATTGCTTTACTGATCTCCTCTTTCTCCTCGATATGAGAAGAAAGTAATAAATGCCCGGGCCTCTAGGTATTTCTGGGGTTGGTTCGAAGTGAGCCTGAAATACAGTGAAATGGGAAAAAAGGTTAGTGTCTATCTGCACCGCTCTGTTCGGATCCCCTACCAATTCTCGGGTCTTTTATTAGAATATCGTGTGCATAATTAATGATCCAATAGAGTGGTATGAGACAGGGTTTCAAATTACTTCCACGGAGAGAGAGAGAGAGGCGTAGGATCGGGAGTTGAAAGTGAGTTTTGAGTGTATTTTTATTCTGATAAAGTTAACCAATTCAATTCAATGTATTTTCGTATGGACCGGAATCACAACAGCAGTCGTCTCGGAGGGCTTTGCAAAGTTGGCAACAACAGATCAGAGAATGGAGAAGTTTGGAGAAAATGGTAGCAAACAAACGGGAGATGATCTATTCTTGGACATCTACATTCACGGTTGGTTTCTGTCGCTTATGAACCAATTTCTCTCTGTTATTGTTATTATTGCATTTCCTGAGTTTTAGCCGCATGATCTGTATTGGTGTAAGAATGTATTTTTGTGTCAGAACTTCAAGTCAGAACTGAGAGCTAAGTACAGATCCCTGGAATTCACCAAAAAGATCATATTACGTCTGCCAGTGTCTTCCAGGAGCAAAAACATGGACATACATCCACATATATGTGTCAGAGAAGACAAGTGCTGAAGATGAGAGCAATTCAAGCTAGTTTCTACAAAAAGGACATTAGTTAAAATAACTCTTCAACCTGGAGTTTGTCAAAGGTATTAAAGGCACTTCTGAAATAGAGAGACACTGTCGAAACCTGCTGTCTGACTTCCTTCTACTAAGTATTCCGTCTGGAATTCCTTGTATCCTTGAATCCGTACAGGCCGACCACCGGTGAGCAGTTTGGGTTTGGGTCAGGACCAAGCCCGAAGGATTTAAGGAGAAAAAAAAGTTCAGGATGACAAGGGACTCTAAAATCCCCACAAAATCTGATCTTTATGAATGCTGTAGGTTCTCTGTCAGCTGAGGTCGAGCTGTTTTAGTTTACATTGAGTTCTATGGGGACTTTTTTCTGGGTAGCCAACGTGAATTTAGTCTGCAGTACCACAGCGCCCCCTGTGTCCATGGGTGGGACAGCTGTAAGCTAGTAATACCCTATCCACTTATTATAGATCCATGGTCAGGACCTAGACTTCAGTTGGCAAATGGACAGCTAACGTAAAGTCCTCTGAGAAAACTACTGTTGTGATTTAGGGCGATAGGAAAATACATTTGAATTGAATCACAGAAGAGCCATTGGTCCTTAGGCAGCTGATGATCCATGTCCATAAATGTCCCGGATCATCGTTTTCCTTGGACCCTCCTGCATCAGCGAGCAACAACAAACATTAGGAATGAAGTGAGAACTCTCGGGAGAGGGATCCGCTCCCAAAGACAAGATAAAGATCCTGTAGTCAGACTGTAGAACGAGGACTGAGGCTCTACCTATTTCCTCAAGTCTTCTGGTGCAGACTGGGTTATTTGAAGAAATGGGTGGAGTCTGGAGTGCTCCTGCTTGGTTGGAATGAAAACCTGAAAACATTTTGAGGACCAAGTATAATATTTTTAGCTTTAGAATAATAAAGAAATAAGTATAAATACAATATCTAACATCTAACAATAAAAAAGCAATAAGAAAAATATGTACAAGTTACACAGGATCAGTGCAAACATGTTAAAAAGTGAAAAAGATAAAAACAAACAAAATTAAAGCCGCAAGCGGCATCTAACGGCCCTCGCCGCACCGCGCAACCGAGGTGGCGCTGGCGCGCCATTTTCCTACCGCCCTGGTGGGAGCGACACTGTGAATTTTGAATGCCTATGATCAGTGATTGTGTTGGTTTTGAAAAGGTAAACCTCATTCTCCCCATGTAATGCTTGACTCAGTCTGTAGGGGGCTCTATTGCTGCAATTTTGTCTTTTATACTTTCAGTTTACCCAAACCCGAGAGTTAAACAATCAATTCAAATTTTGTGCAAATCAGACTTTGTATGTGCAAACAGCGCCCCCTACAATTTAATTTGTTTAGTGTTATACCAAAGAACACCAAAATAATACACTTTATGCCTGAAAAGAACTTGGTGAGTTTTTGTGTTTGTTCAGTGGGTCAAATATGAGATCAAACAACAGAAAACCTAAATACCTTTATCCCCATGTAAACCTTTATTCATCCTGTAGGGGGCGCTAATGGGCCAATGTCATTGTTCACACTGTCATGTGACCTAGGCCCAGGAGTTGACCAACCGAGTCAAGTTTGGTGAATGTGCTCCTGTTTGCACATACAATATGAAAGTGTCCACACAGTCTCCATTGGATAACATGGGAACTTCACACCTCTCTATGAAAATAACCACATTTTGGGAGTCTGTCACGCTCAGACCGTTTGACTAATTCAAATTCTATATTCAACTATTGATAGTCCATGTGTTGAGACCATGTGGAGCGATTTTCAGCCAAATTAGTGAAACGGCCGCGGCTGGTTTGATGTTTGAGCGAGGTGTACTTTTAAGAGATTTAACGATTTTCCCATCAACACAGACAGGGGAGTGTTTGTGGTCGCCACGGCAACAGGGTAAAAAATAACTATATGTTGTCATTGACTTTTTGAATCCAGATGACAAAACAGAATTATGTGCAAAATTTAAAACATTTTGACAAAACTAAATTTTAAAAAGCCCATGTAAAACTTTAACATGGTCTGTAGGGGGCGCTAATGAGCCAATTTCAATATTTAAACTTTCAAATGACCTAGACCTTGGAGCTGAACAATGGATACAAATTTTGTGCAAATCCGGTTTGGTTTGTGCAAACGGGAGCAAATTTACTTTTGTCAAAAATTGGGAAAAAAAATGTCAAATTTTGCCGCTCCGCTGCTCGGACAACGTTTAACTGATCTAAAATTCTATATTCAATAATAGATGGGACATGGGTTCAGACCATGTGGAGCGATTTTGAGACAAATCGGTGAAACGGCCGAGGGGGAGATAATTTCCAACCGACATGTGTGAAAAATATCAATTTTCATTTTTCCATTTTCCAATTAAATTAATGAGCTTCCTGTTTGTCAGGGGGCGGAGCCATAATAACTTTTTTTTCATGTCTTGACCTGAGGAACATGTGTACCGAGTTTTGTGGCTCTACGACAAACTTGACCTCCGACCCGCTCCCATAGGCGCAATGTAAACTGTCTTTTGTAGGGGGCGCTGTTCGGGCATTTTTTTAGTCCCATAAAAATAAACACCAAAAAATTTTATTTTTCGCCAGTTCTGAATTTTGGGCAAAATTTCACAACTTTTCATCAATGTTCAGGGGGTCAAATTAAGGTTCAAAGCGCAGAAGAAAAAAGAAAGAAAGAAAGAAATAAGGATTTTTTTTAAAAATCTTCGAGCAAAAACAATATAGGTTTCCATAGTAACCTATAATACAAATGATAGGTCGTTTTAAAGCGAACGACCAGACGAACGCAACTATAATCACCTCGCCATCATGAGGTCACCCACCCCCTCCAAAGGACCCCATTGATTACACAGTACTACAGCAGGAGCAAAGCCATTCAGTGTTTTGTCAGTTATGAAGGAGGAGGTTGGGGCTCGGGCCTAATTATAAAGTGACACTGACACAGTCATTTTTCACAATTTTTCATTTAGAAAAATCATAAGTTCCTCGGTAAAAATCTGATAGATTCTGATTGGCCGCCTGCTCCCTGGACACTCCCCCAGCTCCTCCCTCTTCCCTCACCTCCTCCTCCTCCTCCCCCACCTCCTCCTTCCCCGTTGGCTGCCAGGGCTCAGAGGAGAAAGTGCTGCGTCCTTGAGGAGCTGGATCAGGAGCAGGATTAATGTGATGTTTAGGCCTAAACGCATCGTCCATCATCCTGCAGCACTCCACCAGGCTCCTGCACTTTCTCTCTATCTCTCTGCCTCCCTCTCTCTATCTCTCTGCCTCCCTCTCTCTATCTCTCTGCCTCACTGTCTCTCTCTCCCCCTGTCTTTCTCTGCCTCTCTCTCTCTGTCTCTCCCTCTCCCTCTCTTACTGCCTCTCTCTCTCTCCCTCTCTTACTGCCTCTCTCCCTCTCTTACTGCCTCTCTCTCTCTCCCTCTCTTACTGCCTCTCTCCCTCTCTTACTGCCTCTCTCTCTCACTGCCTCTCTCTCCCTCTCTCTCTCTTCCTCCAGGATGTATCTGAGACAGTTTAAAGAATAATCATTTTTTGAAGGAGGAGTGTTTTGTTTCAGTCTGGAGTTGGCAGAGACTTTGCTTACAGCACTTGTTTCGATCTTGTTTTGTTAAAAAATAAGTTTCCAAAGTGCTGCACAGATACTGTAAAAGTAACACATTTAAATATACAAGTTTGCCAGCTTTTTACAGTATGTTTAAAAATAAATTAATAAGTAAAACATTACGTACACAAATGAGAAAAACAAGAAAACAACATGCGTATTTGGCGCAAAGCATCATGGGACCTTGTCGACCGTGCAGAACCAGGAGGACCAGAGGAATGACCAAATATGTGCAAGTTCCACTAATCTTTCGGTGCCCACAGTGAGGCGCCACTGAGCAAAAACCATTGATTTGAACAGGCCGCCATCTTGGATCACCGGGGGCTTGTTTATGGAGTGACCGATGATGTCATTGGGTTTAGATTCAGTTTATTTTCAGTAAAACACACGTGAGTCTTTCGTGAGCACCATTCAGTCCTGGCATGAATGGGCCACAGACGTATTTATATTAGGGCCGTCTGGAACAGTCGACCTGAAAATGTGAGACAGGCTTTTACTCTGAAAACGTTCAAAACCGTGTGTGAATGTTTTTATCTTATTTTGCTAAGCACCTGGAGTCGCCTTGTGTATGAACCGTGCTCCACAAACGCATGCGTCCCGCCTTGAGAAGCGTCTCAGTGTGTCCAAAAGCTCTGCATAAACACATTACTATGAAATATATGTAGATGGCCATTCATAAAAATTGAAATAAATACGACACCAATTTGTATTTATTTATTTATTTATTTAAATCGTGGACATGACAATACATATTACCATTACATTTAATATAATTGTTGTCTTGTCACACGAATTGAAAAATATGTTATGTCTCCTGCCTCTTTCTTCAAACATGTACAAATGAAATCCAAAAAGAGATGGGACTCCTCCTTCAAACTGTTTTCATTTAAAGTTATTAATTTGTTTTTTATGATATACTTTCCGTAGTAACTCTCATGCAGTGGTAGACATAGTGTTCGTACCTACAGTATAATACCTGTAGAAAGTGCAGATATTTTCTGGGATTCGGAGCCATCTGGAGCCGTGACACGTGATGTAATGAATGTTTAGGCTTAACCTTGGTTCCATTTACTCAAACAAATTGCCGTGTGCGAGAAAACCAGTGTGTTCTCAGTGGCCCGCTGTTCCGACTCGCTGATCGCTCGTATGACATTGGTCCAGGAAGAAGGATGGTGCGGAGCCAGACGGAGCCACTGCTATTAGCAAAGTCCATCGGAAATCCCATTTTAATAACTGTAATAGAAGATGTTTTTATGATCCCCTGCACGTTTTGCATTTGAATGAGTTTCTTTGAGTTAAAAATCGGGCGTTTACGAGGGACACAAATCTCAATTACGCCAAAACTTATGGCTCCTGCTTCGCTGTAGTCCCTCCGATGCCACACTTAGTAAATCAGGCTCAATAAGTGCTTAAAAGACTCATATAAAAACAAAGTGTATTCAAAACACTGCAGAGTCCAGACTAGAACCAGGAAGTAGCATCTCATTAGTCCAGACTAGAACCAGGAAGTAGCATCTCATTAGTCCAGACTAGAACCTGGAAGTAGCATCACATTAGTCCAGACTAGAACCAGGAAGTAGGATCACATTAGTCCGGACTAGAACCTGGAAGTAGCATCACATTAGTCCAGACTAGAACCAGGAAGTAGGATCACATTAGTCCAGACTAGAACCTGGAAGTAGCATCACATTAGTCCAGACTAGAACCAGGAAGTAACATCACATTAGTCCAGACTAGAACCAGGAAGTAGGATCACATTAGTCCGGACTAGAACCAGGAAGGAGCATCACATTAGTCCAGACTAGAACCAGGAAGTAGCATTACATTAGTCCCGGTCTCAGGTCTCTGCTTCTTGTGGTCCAGAGAATTTTTAGGTTTCATTAAACTGGCCAGTAGGGGGCGCATGAGCAGAGGTGGGACAGTTTTGCTCCATTGAAAACCATGTAAAGTCTGTTTTGGAGTCAAAGGCTCTCGTCCTGTGCGGTGTACGGTTGTTGGAACAGCCTTAATCGGGGACACTCAATTCTAAGTGAGAACTAACAAATATTTCTCAAAAGAGTCTTGATTTTAGGAATTTTTGGAAAGAAAAACAGAAGAAATGTCTGCGTTTCATTGGGGTGGCCTGCAGGGGGCGCTTATCTGGGAAAGCCTTGATCCACCTCCGCCTCATTCCAGTGGTTTTTCCAAAGTGTCTTCCTTTATATGAGACACAGTTGGAACATGATCAAACTCTGGTCTTTCTCTCTATTTGTGCGGTTTCTACAAACGTACACCGCACAAAAAGATGGCATTTTGACAGTGCTTCTTCTTCTACTATATCTCTGTGTATAAACCACTTCTTCTACTATATCTCTGTGTATAAACCACTTCTTCTACTATATCTCTGTGTATAAACCACTTCTTCTTCTACTATATCTCTGTGTATAAACCACTTCTTCTTCTACTATATCTCCGTGTATAAACCCGGCAGACTGCACCGCCAGGATACGTCACGTCCTGTCCTACGTTTGTTATTCGCTCCACTGCCCTGACGTCATAGGACACCCAAGGATAGACTTTAAAGCAGCTCTGTTTGTTCCAAGAGACATGTTAGAGTCATATCAAACATCCTGCTGGGACTCTGAGGAGCACAGGGACTGGCCTCCTGCTGGGACTCTGAGGAGCACAGGGACTGGCCTCCTGCTGGGACTCTGAGGAGCACAGGGACTGGTCTCCTGCTGGGACTCTGAGGAGCACAGGGACTGGCCTCCTGCTGGGACTCTGAGGAGCCACAGGGACTGGTCTCCTGCTGGGACTCTGAGGAGCACAGGGACTGGCCTCCTGCTGGGACTCTGAGGAGCACAGGGACTGGTCTCCTGCTGGGACTCTGAGGAGCACAGGGACTGGCCTCCTGCTGGGACTCTGAGGAGCACAGGGACTGGCCTCCTGCTGGGACTCTGAGGAGCACAGGGACTGGTCTCCTGCTGGGACTCTGAGGAGCACAGGGACTGGCCTCCTGCTGGGACTCTGAGGAGCACAGGGACTGGCCTCATGCTGGGACTCTGAGGAGCACAGGGACTGGCCTCCTGCTGGGACTCTGAGGAGCACAGGGACTGGTCTCCTGCTGGGACTCTGAGGAGCACAGGGACTGGCCTCCTGCTGGGACTCTGAGGAGCACAGGGACTGGCCTCATGCTGGGACTCTGAGGAGCACAGGGACTGGTCTCCTGCTGGGACTCTGAGGAGCACAGGGACTGGCCTCCTGCTGGGACTCTGAGGAGCACAGGGACTGGCCTCCTGCTGGGACTCTGAGGAGCACAGGGACTGGTCTCCTGCTGGGACTCTGAGGAGCACAGGGACTGGCCTCCTGCTGGGACTCTGAGGAGCACAGGGACTGGCCTCATGCTGGGACTCTGAGGAGCACAGGGACTGGTCTCCTGCTGGGACTCTGAGGAGCACAGGGACTGGCCTCCTGCTGGGACTCTGAGGAGCACAGGGACTGGCCTCCTGCTGGGACTCTGAGGAGCACAGGGACTGGTCTCCTGCTGGGACTCTGAGGAGCACAGGGACTGGCCTCGTGCTGGGACTCTGAGGAGCACAGGGACTGGCCTCCTGCTGGGACTCTGAGGAGCACAGGGACTGGCCTCCTGCTGGGACTCTGAGGAGCACAGGGACTGGCCTCCTGCTGGGACTCTGAGGAGCACAGGGACTGGCCTCATGCTGGGACTCTGAGGAGCACAGGGACTGGTCTCCTGCTGGGACTCTGAGGAGCACAGGGACTGGCCTCATGCTGGGACTCTGAGGAGCACAGGGACTGGCCTCCTGCTGGGACTCTGAGGAGCACAGGGACTGACCTCGCACAGCCGTCATTTTGACCACTTCATTCAGCACTTTGAGTTGCCTTGGGTATGAATTGTGCTATACAAATAAACTTGCCTTGCCTTGCCTAATATCAATGCAAAATTCAAATACAGCCATTTTTGGTCTCTTTTTATCAACCTTAAAAAGCAACCTTTCACTGCGCTGCTGAACGGAACAATTTAAGAGATCATTTGTTCCTTCAGCTGTGAGTTAAACATTTGCACTATTGTTAGTTATTCCGTTAGAAATGTTTATAAATGTTAATGTTAATTGATGTATGCGTTTATATGGATGTGTTTCTGCTGCTGGACACCTGCATTTCTCTTTCAGGGATCAAATAAAATATCTATCTTATCTATTGAGCAGTTTAAGCACGTAATAAATGTGACTTAAAAATAGAAAAATATTAAAAAATATTAACTTTTTATACATTTGGTGAACAATCTTTGGGTCAATTTCTCAGAACTGGCTTGGTGTGATTGGTAGCAGTCGAAAAGACGGCTCTGGGAGTGCTAGTGGTTCCATAAACCCAGGAGTCTGAGTCTTAACAGTTTTTGACCTGGATCTTTCTGCTCTTAAATGATCCCACGGTGACTCCTGAAACATCCACGTCCAAGTGAAGAGAGTGAAACTAAAGTTGGAGACAGAACTTTTGGCTGTTAAATTATCGGCAGCGTTCCGTGAGTCGCTGAGTGCAAGACTGACAGAACTAATTATAGCCACAAGGGTGTTCTTGTGTACAGAGGAAATAAGTC